GCTTTATGTAATTCAAGGGACAGTAAAATATTTGCACCAATGTTTGTGCGGTTTTTTTAATACTTTAGATCAGTGATTTAAATTTTTTTTTCCCATGTTTCAGATGCTCTGTAGTTTCATGGTCGTGTTGGAATTTGAGTCTAACTTTAATTATAGATTAACTGCTAATATGTGACATTTGCTTAAGGAAAAAACAGCATTTCAACTTTGTAATGTTACTAACCAGTTCCTTGAAGCTGTGATGGACTGACTGATTCTACTTACCCTTTTCTTTTCAACAGTGACAAGTTTAGGTTTTCATCAACTATTGAACACTTAGCTACATTTTCTAACAATAATTCTATCTTCTGAATGAGTAATGTGAGATTTTGTTTTGCTTTGTTTTGTTTTTTATTTAGAAAGAGCTCTATTTCCTCTTTTTGCAATAAGACAGTGTTTACAAAAGCCTGCGTTCCTGAGAGCAGTGAAGCAGAAGTTACTTATGGTATTGGCTACTTGCTGCTGGGGGGAAATTTTAGCACTGAAGGATATACCAAAAAAAAAAAATTTAAAAAATTACAGAAAATAGCTACAGAAATAGGGGGAGATGGGATTGTCTATTAGTTCAGGCTGTTTCTTCCATACATGGGTGGGTTTCTGCAGTGCTAACAAATGACTGATATCCCAGTCCGTTCCTTAAATAATTGTTTGGATGCTGAGCAAGTTCTTTAGAACTATCACATAAAGCTCAAAGGAGAAAAGGAGAAGTCTTCAAAACTGCCACACAAATGGCAGAACAGTCTCAAAAGTCTGAAAGTGATTAAAGTCTGGCAAATAGCAAAACAAATGCACTTTATCAGTATCAAATAGATTGGGGGGTCTGTGAATCCTATGATACTGTCTACAAATAAGTAACCCGCATTCTGAAAATAGTGCCCTCTAAAGGTGCAGTTCAGTTGAACAAATCGCCTCAACCTCTGGAATCAAGTGAAAAGAGGAAAGGTATTCTCTGATCATGTGAAGTGGATCAATATCAATCTTACTTTGGTTATGCAAAAATCTTTAGATAACAGTATAATTCCGTGCATGTTCAGCTGATTTCCTTACAAAATCAGTATCCTTAATGGTGATACTGATCTATCCAATCAAGTTTTCCTTGATCATTTGCATAGTTTTTTCTACTATAAATAGTTTGAACATCTGCAGCAGTAATCTTTAAGACTTATATTTATATTATTATTTATAGCTATTTTTATTAGTTTTCACTGGTACTATAAAAAAAGAATCCACTGAGATGCACTGGAGAACTTAAAAAGTAAACAAGTGGTACCACAAATATACTTGACCAAAGGGAGAGAGCACAAGGTAGTAAGGAAAGCATGATTAAGACTGGGTCATGGATTAGCTCTATAGAATCAATACAGCTAAGTATTAACCACCTTTTTTTAAATAGTGGAAATGGAATCATTTTAGTATAAATCATTTTAGTATAATATTGAAATTAGGATATGAGGTGGGTTGGTTTTTTTCCTTCATTTTTCCTTTCTTTTATTTCTATTTAACTTAGAAGAAATCTGTACTAGTAACAGTCCCATTTTTGCTTGTCTATCCCCAAAGGCTCTCTGAAAAGCACTATATCTGAACTTCCATTGCTTTAAGGGGTTGTTTCTTATTTTAAAAGGACAGCATAAATATCTCAGACAACCATGATTTTAAGGTTTGTTTTTTTAAAAAAAAAAAAAAAAGAAAAAAGAATAGAATAGAAGAAAGCCTGGAATGTAATTTTTTTTCTCACTGAATGAGTTCAAATCAGACAGGACTTTAACAAAATCACTGGGTTCACTTCTATGTAAAAAAAAAAAAAAAGTGAGAATAAAATCAGAACTTCTATATCTTCCTTGTAATTGATCACACATTGCAGAATAAAAGATGAGAGTCTATCCCTAGCTGTCTAAACTAAGTAAATTTATTCCACTCATCTGATTTGAAAAAAAATGCTTCTGTGATATTTTAAATACTAAAACCTTTCAATTTATTAGTCAAGAGTGAACAAACCAAGAGATTTCTGTGCAATAAAAATTTACAGAATGAATAGTGGCCTGCTATTCTGATACTGAGGGTAAAATTATATAAGAATATATTATGTTCTCCTATTTGATGACTGCAGACAGTTTTAACTTCCTTATGTGTTATATAATAAATAAGTAAGTCAATGTTAGTATAAACTGGCAAAACAAGCTTTGCAGCATGGGCTGTCAAGCTTTTCAGGAGCTGGACTTGCTAGTTCTTTATAGGCTGCTTCTCCACACATTCGTATTTGAGTATTAAAATCGCCTGCTTCCTCAGCCTGCTTCTTTTCTAAACTCACAAGAGAATAGACATAGTTTTTGTCATGTCTATAAAATTTATAAACCTCATATTTTAAAGTACAAATTTTCACTTTTACTCTCTAATATGCCATATCACAGGTAAAGACAGTGCTCATGGCAAAAAAAAAAAGGCTTTCAGAATCAGTATAGAATTTAAAATTCCTAAGAGATGCATTTATAGATTTGATAAAAATTATTGGCTATCTTAAAAAATAATACTATAAATGGGAAAATTTCTTGTCTCAGATGTGCAGGTTTTAGTACTGGGGAAGATACCTTGGGTGTGGTGAGTGTGCTCTGCTATGCTCATTCACAGCCTTGGAATAATTTCTTTAGAAATGAGAAAAGCCAAGCCAAAGACTGCTTCCAACTGTATAGTGGAATGCAAAGGATGATTAAAGAAAAAAAATGGGTTTTCAATAAAAAAAAAAAAAGAAAAGAAAAAGAAAACAGTACCTCTATAACTTACTAGATGCAATGGTTGAGAGAAAACAATTCCATTTCACACAAATTTTCCATGTCTATAAATATATTTTGAAATTAATTGTGTTGAAAAATCTATTTTGCAAGGGACTAGAAGTAGGAAAGAATGGGGAAAAAAAAAAAAACAACAAACCCAGCAGTATGTGTTTGTGAAGTGGTTTGGCTCCCAGATAACATATTCAATCAAAAGCATCTGGCAACTTCCACATTGGAATCTTCTGCTTGTCAGTGAGAGTACTGTGAAAAAGAGAATAGTTAATATAATCACTTCAGACTTTCAGAAAGTCCCTCCTGATGTTCAGCTAAGGAAGTCTGCTGTTATGATTTTGTTCCAGGAGCAAGGCCTAGTAAAGATCACAAACTCTGTCTAAGTGCAAACTTAGAAGCTGAGACTGAAGACCTGGAGACTTGGAATCTATTCAATATAGATTCAATATATTTTCTTGGATGTCTCCTCAGGTGTTTTAGGAGAAAAAAAAAAAAAAAGTGCCTGGGAGAAAGGAACGACTTATACAAATGCAACCATTGCATGACCTTTTTGTCTTCTTGAACAGGTAAGTATCAGAGAGAGAGAGAAGGGAAACCCAGAGGCGAAGAGAGGAATAAAAAGGGAAGCAACTCATCCAAACACAGAGCCTGGCCAGATGTGTATATGACACTTTATTTCTGTATAGAAATGGTAAAGAAAATTCAGAAAGGCATAATACATATGAAGCAATGCTGAGAACTGCAGGCAATCTGTACAATGTATTCCAGCAAATGCAAGGAAAATATGCACGTATCAGTCACTCAGCCCTATTACCAACAAATCACTCTGTTGGTACTCAGATTTGAGACAGCTTTGTTTGCAGATGCCTGGGACACCTGCTATCATCTCCCAGCATTTCTCCCATCAGAGTGCAGAGGGATCTGAGGGACTTTTTTTTGTTTCTGTTTCTGCACCTCTCTGCCCACCATGAACAGCTGTCAATGAAAACACAGTGCTGCAATTCAATGCTCCTTTCTGCTGCCTGTGCATTTTCTTTTAGAAGCAAGTTACTCTTTACTTCTGGACCTTAACAGGTGTCTAAGGTATGCAGCTGTATTCCACCAGCAGGCAGTACTCTTCTGCAACTTATCTGAACCTTTTTCAAGTTGTTGCAGTAGTTCTTCTGCATTCATAAATATCTTTCTGTCATTTCTTTCCTAATCCAAAGACTCTCTCAGTATACTTTTCTGTTTTCCATTCTGCAGGATGCAGATGGCAAGGCAGAGAGATACAACTTCTGTAATTCTTTCTGCTTTTTTACTAATACAGATGAAAAGCCAAGCGAAGAGTAGTCTTGTGACATAATATGAAATTACTGGAAGTCCTTTCCAACCCTAACTACCCTATTCTAATCCTAACTATCCTATGATCCTATGAAGTGTGTACTCACAAAATGTGAAATAACTACTAACCTATAACATGCTTCCTAAACTATATCCTAAATATATCCTAAGGTGTATCCTAAAATTTGTTTTGAAAAGACGTAGTAATAGACTAATAAACATAGTTATAAGCATAGTAACAAGCATAGTAATAATGATAGTATCAAGGTCCAGAGGCCAGCTCTCCACTTGGGGAGATGCTCCAGCGGGTGGCTTTTGCTGGTGGAGCTGAGTGAGCCAGCAAGGCCTCCTGCGAGGGCTGGGATGGGTCTGAGTGTGCTGCTCTGGCTCCAGGGAGAGGTAGTGGAACCTTCCATCCACAGCAGAAGGACATGGTGGCTCTGTCCTCGCCGCTGCCGAGGTGGTGCTGGGGCCGGCCGTAGGGTGGAACTCCAAGCCCAGGCAGCAGAGCTCATCCGGGGAATCCAAAGTAGTGAATGGGCACCATATAGGGAGAGTCAGAAAGCACTGATGAAGCCATAACAGCAAGAGCAGGCAGGACTTGGCTCCTGGGCTTTTCGGAAGTATGCTGTAAAAGAGGTCATTGCTAGCACAAGAGAGAGGCTCCTTACTGGTTCCTTACTGGCAACTACAATGTTGCTTTGGTAACTTCTCAATACATGTAATACCCTTAGAGCACAGGAAGTTGACAGAGATGTGCAGTGCCCCCTTGCCAGGCAGCAGGGCTCAGCAGGGAGCCCTGGGAAGCTGGGATACGATCCTTTCCAAAACCCAAGCAGCAGCATCCCATTGATCATGGGTTGGCCGGCAATGCTGGGGTAGTATGTTTCTCCTAACATACATGCTCCCCCGAGGGCAGGACAATCCTGTGCACCTCAGGAACATTTCCTATATTCAGAGCTTGACAAAAAGATGGAACACAGGGTCTGCTACATACCTGGGTGCCTTGTTATTCCCCTGCTTGAATTTCTTCAGTCGCACATCCCTGAGAGCTCAGTTCTGCTTTTCTTCTGGCACGGTGGCCCATCACTGCCCTCTTCCCAGGCTGCTCTCTGCTTCCTGGTGTTCTGTGAAGAACCTGGGAACCTTTCCATTCAATAGTATTGTTAAACAGGTGAAGCCGTGAGTACCTTGAACTAAGCAAAGCCAGGCAGTTTTACCTTTTCTCCCCGGAAGAGCTCCTCTGTTTTTTGCTCTCGGGAGTGATGGGAGGCACCTGCAATGGCAATGTGTAGGTTAGCAGGGGGCAAGGACCTCCCTGCACAATTGCTACTTTAGCTCTAAAAGGCACATCCCTTGGATGAGTTTGCTCAGCTCAGGTGAGCCACCTGTGGTGGGATCACCTCACAAAGCGGGATGGCCAACCTGCATCGGCCTTGCTCTGCACTTTGGCAGAGCTGCAGGCTGGTGGATGACCATGCTTGTTCCTGCGGTGGCAGCAGCCCCACCTTCTGATTAGGGAGGCTTTTGCTGTCATGCTGCTCATGCACTTCACTTACCTCTGCTGTTTCCAGCTCTGCTTGTGCTGCTGGTGCCTCCTCATCCTCCTCTCTGGCCAGCCCAGCCACCTGCTCTCCAAGGAGCTCCTCATGGTGGTCGATGAGGAACTCGACGAGTTGCGTCACCTGCACACAGCAAACCACTGCTTTCACTGAGGGGGCTGATGAGGGCACAAACAGCCTTTCCCAGCCTGACCCGCATTTCTCTGAAGTAAGGTGCAGCCATGGGGATGCTCTTCCCGGCTACTGCCCCATGGCTTTGCTGATGGGAGGTGGCAGCCAGGGCCTTCTGAGCACCAAAGCCTGGCTGGGCTGGGGACGCTGTAGCCGGGCAGTGAGCACAGCGTACCTTCCCTGTCTCCAGAGCCAGGATATCCAGGGGGAGCTCCTGGGGTGGGCTCAGGAGGTTTGGTGCCAGGCAGATGGCCAGGTTCCCAGCAGTCATCTTGGTTATGGCCACGTTCCTGCTGATCCTTCTAAGCAGGGATAGCAAGTGCCCAGCAGGAGGAGGTTTGCCTCTGGCAACTTGCTGGCCACCCTGAGGGAAGAGGAGCACAATGTTAATAAAGTTGGTGTTGACAACACAGGTCTCCCAGGCTGATCTCACCAAAGGCCACTGCCTGGTCTACAGCAGAGGGACTGCCTTTGCTGATACAGCCACCTCCCTCCCTCCCTGCCTCTCTGAAAGAGACCCTTGTTGGAGCAAGCCCCACCACCTGTGGGAAGTACTCCCTGGAGAGTAAAGCTTTTCAGTGCCTCTTTTCCCCAAAACATAAACTCTACAGCAGCAGGAGGTTGCTTGCAGGAGCCATGGCTATTTCAGGCAGGCCACTGCTTTGCAGTGGAGTCCCAGCCTGTGCCAGTCCCTGCTGGCTGCTGCAACACTTACCCTCTCAGCACTGCCAGCCTCTCCTGCCTGCTGGTCTTCTCCATGGCACTCATCCACTCCTAGTACAGCTGGATGCTGAGAAGCTTAGAGGGGATCTTCCGGAGGAGGTCCTGCAGTGCCAAGGGCTCCATGTGAGGCTTTGGCCACTGCCTCCAGGAGCACAGGCAGCATCCCCAGCCCTCTGGCTCATGAGCAGGTGGCTGGGTTTCTGCTTGTGCTCCCGCAGGTGCCCATCAGCCCCAAGAGAGCCAGGAGCTGCAGGGCTCTGGGTCAGCAGGGCTCACCTTCAAGAAGACAGCCAACAACAGCACAGGCTGGTTTTCCAGCTGCATTGGCATCCCGCTGTCCAGTGCGTCCCTGATCTCGTGGCAGGCGCACTCGCTGGCCGCCTGCCGAAAGATCCCCTCTGTGGATGGGCTGTGCTCATTGAGCAGAGCCAGCAGGTCCTGAGGGCACAGAGAAGGAGAGTTGCTGGGCTGGAGACAGACCCTGAGGTAGGTGCTGGGGACAGCCTCTCTAGGGAGGAGTCTGAGGGATGGGATGGGGAACCCCTGCTGGCTTACCTGGATGGGCTGGGGCAGCATGCTGTCCTGGTTGCACAGATCTGCCAGGGGCCGGCCAAAAAGAGCTCCCACACCAGCAGAGCCCAATGGCTCTGGTGCCCCTGCTGCAGCCAAGATGACTGGCCGTGCAAATGGCCAGGGCAGCCTCCTCCTGCTCCTGCTCGTCCCGCCTGCTGCCAAGGGAAACAGAGCAAAGAGCCGTGGAGGAGAAGCACCAGGAGAGTGGTCCCAGACTCCCTCAGTGCTGTCTACCCGCCAATGTTCTACACGGAAATGAGGGGCCCTGGGGCTCAGCTCTCTCCTGCTGCCGAGGATAGACGTGCCCTGTGGGAAGGGCAGTGGCAGCCCCATCACAGCACGTGTGCCTGCCTGCAAGAACAGGAGAGAAGGGTCATCTTGCCCCTGTCTTCTCCACACCATTCACATGGCCATGTCTGCCTTCACTGCGGGGGGGGGGGGGGACAGGAACTGGCAGCTGCTTGGCACCAGCCTGCAAGAAATGGGCTGTGCTCACCAAGGAACCTCACAGCAGAAAGGTCCCCTGGAGAGCTGCATCAGCTGCTGGCCGTGTGTGAGAGGTGGGGATGGGTGAGATTGCACCTCAAGTGAGTCTGACCTGAGCCTGGCGCTGGAGCAGCTCCTCCAGGCTGCTGGCATCCAGTGCCGTCCCCTGGGCAAGTGGAAAAGAACAGAAGGTGAGGAGCAATGCAGCTGATGCTGGGCTGGGGCAGCCTCTGGGGGCAGAGCATGGCAGCCACTCAGCTCCTTCAGCATCAGCCTTATGGACGGCAGCTGGGTCACTCTGGCTCCCTGAACTGCTTCCGGTGGTCTGTGCACAGGGAAGGGGCAGAGAAAAAGCTGTGTGAGACCCAAGCCAGCTCTCCCCTCTGCTGCCAGCCTGGGGAGTGCTTCCACACTGCCAGGAACAGCTGGTACTGCCCAGCAGTGGAGCAGGAACAGTGGGAGTGGCGAGAATGGGGCTGGACAGGTGTTGGCTGGACACAGGTGGAGGAAGCATCTTCACCAGATGTGCCCATTCAGCGGTGGGGGCACCTCTGCCTGCAGCTGTGGGGGCACCTCTGCTCAGCTCAGCAGAGGTGTTTTCTCATCATTCAGATGCCACTCATGGAGCATCCCACCATGATGGAAGTAAGGGCAGCCCAGGCTACAGTGCCAGGCAGGGCTTACCCAAGGAGGGCGTTGACCCAGAGTTCCTTCACTACTCAGGAGCTGTGAAAAGAGGGGAGAAACAGACTTAGTGCCTGCTGTGCCCCAGTGGATGATGACCCATGGGGCAGGGCAGAGGTGCTGCCCACCCCTCTGATGAGACATTGCACCAGGACTCACCAGAAAGTGATGACACAAGAGTCGCAGGGCCAGAGGAAGACAAGGGAGCTGGTGGCCTTCCCTTCCTCCTCCTCCTCAGCAGCATCACCGGCTGAGCCCTTCCCACCGCTCAGCACCTGGAGCAGGCCCAGGACCAGGCAGTGCTGCGGGCATGGGATGCTGCCAGGTCTGCAGAGAGGAGTGGCAGGGAGTGAGCTGGAGGTGGTTGAGCCTGCTGGCTCCCCTCTAGTGCCCACCTGCCATGGGCACAACCACAGGTGTATCCACCACCAGGGTGCTGGGGGCCTGGGGCTGTTATTTGGCTGTCCCTGCTCTGGTGCCCTGGTGGCAGGGCCAGGTCTTGGGAGGAAAGGCAGCTGGGCTCTGCCAATCTTACTTGGTCTTGGCAATGACCAGGGTGTCTCTGAAGAGGACGAGGTCCCTCTTCTTCCTCTGGCCACGGCCCTGTGTCATCTGCACAGGTTCCCTGAGCAGCGGCTTGGGCAACGCCTGGTCAGGTACACACTGCTGGTTGGGGCCAGGGTCATCCCTGCAGGGCAGACAGCATCAGACATGAGCAAGGCAGCTGCTGCAGGGCCCGGCTTGTGCCAGTGTATCCCTGGGCTGTGGGGGAACCCACCTGGACCCGCAGCAGCAGAGCCACTGCCCCATCCTGACAGGGGTGCGAGAAGACTTGCAAATAAAACTTGTCACACTCGGGACGGGAGCGCTCCTCCACAAAAGGGAAGCACCCCCAGTGCCACTGGTGCTGCCACTCGCAGCACCATCCATGGAGGCACTGGGGCTGTTGCTGGGCCAGCACCGGGTTAGAACGGAACACCACTGTGACCTCAGTTCTGGAACCCAGGGGCCCAGATGGGACAGAGCCCTGTGGGACTCACCCCAGGATGCCCATGTCCAGCCCCAGCCCCAAGGACTGCTCACTTACAACTGCAGTGTCCACCAATGGAAAGTCATGGCTCCTGCAGCCATGGTCTTCCGACTCGCAGGACCTGGGGAGCCCCAGGTCTACCATGCACACTGAAGTCTGAGGCAATGCTAAAGCATTAAATGCCTCTGTCTTTTCTTCATCCCCACTTTTCAGTGGCTGTCTTCATAAAGTATCGTTTCAATACTTTCCTTAGGCCTCTGCTTGTTATTAGTATATGTCAAAAAGCCTTTTGTTGTTGTCTGATGGAACACTGACCAGTTTCATCTCTAGCTGAGCTTTGGCCTTTCGTGACGTCTCCCTCCAAGTGTGAACCACAGCTCAGTAGTCTTCCTAAGAAGTTCGGCCTTGCTTCTAGAGAGCACACAATTTCTGTTCCCGTCCCAATTCCAAGAAGAGTTCCAAGCTGTTCTTCTGCTGCACCTGCTTGACTTCCATTGACATGATGGGATTGCTGCTCCTGTGTTTTCAAAAGCTGGTTCTTTAAAAGTGAGCAGCTCTCATGTCCCCCTAAGTCCTCAAAAGCTCCTGCCCAGGAGACCCTGCCAAGTAGGTCCCTCTGCACCTTCAGGTTTGCTCTCTTGATACCCAGTGTAGCAACTTTGCTTAACTTTTCCCTCATGACGTGCAAAAGTTTGAGCTCAAGGTCTTTGGGATTAGCGTGGCCAAGACAGACTCCTATCATGACACCTCGCATGCGTCCTTCTTGATTCACAAAGAGCAAGTCCAGGAGGGCACCTTTTCTAGCTGGCTCACTGAGTACTTGTGGAAGGAAGTTACCTTCCACAAACATCAGGAATTTAGCAGCCTCACTTGTCCAGCAGTGACATTATGTTATTCCCAGCTGATGTGTGGGAAGTGGAAATCTCCCAGAAGGACAAGAGCTACCTATCCAGAGATTTCTCCTGATTGCCTATAGAATCATGTCTGTGTGTGTCGTGGTTTAAACCCAGCCAGTAACTCAGAGCCACACAGCCTCTCACTCACTCCCTCTGTTCTTACCTCCCAGCCTCCTCTCCCAGAGAGATGGGGAGGAGAATCAAAATAATGTAACTCCCACTGGTTGAGATAAAAACAGCCCAGTACCTAAGGTATAGCACAAAACCACTACTGCTACCACCAATAATAATAATGATAAGCGAAATAACAAGGGGAGAGTATATGAAACTAAGGGGAAAGGAAAGAAAACAATAAACAACAGTGATGCAGAATGCAATTGCTCACCACCCTCCAACCGATACCCAGCCTGACATGAGCAGTGATCTGGGCCTTCCAGGTAACTCCCCCCTGTTTATGTACTGGGCATGACATGCTGTGAATACCCCTTTACCTAGTTTGGGTCAGGTGTCCTGTCTCTGCTTCCTCCTGGCTTCACATGCTCCTCCTCACTGTCAGAGCATGAGAGACTGAAAAGTCCTTCATCAGGGTAAGCATTACTTACCAACAGCTAAAGTACTGGTGAGTTAACAACATTGTTCTCAGACGAAAGTCAAAACACAGCACTGCACCAGCAACTAGGATGGAGAAAAACAACTGTTACAGCTGAACCCAGGGCAGTATCCATCCCTTATTCCATATCATTCACCTCATGCTCAGACTTTTTTTCAATATATAATTTTTTGTCCCAGATATATATAAATACGCCCCACACACATAGAAAGAGACAGATACCATTCCCTAGTCCATGGATCAATCCCTATGAAGCTGCTAAATTCATTCCATGATGTCAGGCTCCATCTCTTGTAACAGTCTTTCAGGGCAGGAGACAGTGTGTAGTGTTGGGTTGTTGCCTGCTGCTGACACTGCTGAACTCCTCTGGTCACTGCTAACCTCGTCTGGTCACTGCTGAGCTCATTTGGTTTCATCAAAGCTCATTCTTTGTTGGGTTGATGATCGGAGAGATGTCAGAGTCAGTTGATGATGACCTGAGGACAGTTCTGCTGCTGCTGCTTGCTTTTCTCATGACTTTATTCTCTGCTGATGATCATGACAGCATTTTCTTTTCAAAACCCAGAGTGGTGGAGATGGGCATCTAGCTGATGGGCTATAAAAGTGTTATATAGCAGGAAACAGCATATAATTGAGTTCATTGGCTGTTTTCCCCCAAAATTAAATCCCCTTGAGGTACACACTGGACTTCCACATCTTCCCACATTACCCACCAAGTATATCCTGGTGCCTAAGGGAAAGCAATCCCATGAGTGAGTTTGCCTTTACCTGAAGCAGGAATAACCCAGACTGTCTTCCCCAGCAAATTCTTTATGTGCACCACAGGAACTTTATCCCCCTCCCCCTAATATGTAAAAGTTCTGACTGGGCTGGGCCAGCCCTGTTGGAAGATCCCCTAGTGCTGACCAACCAGGTAGCTTTTGGCAAATGTCTGAAAGTTCCCCCACCCATTGCTCTCAGTATAATTTTTAACAGCCCATTGTACCATTTGATTTTCCCAGAGGATGGTGCATGGTAGGGGATGTGATATACCCCCTCAACGCCACGCTCTTTGGCCCAAGTGTCTATAAGGTTGTCCTGGAAATTAGTCCCATTGTCTGACTCAATACTCTCTGGGGTGGCATGTTGCCACAAAATCTTTCTCAAGGCCCAGGATAGTGTTCCAGGCAGTAGCGTGGGGCACAGCGTATGTTTCCAGCCACCCGGTGGTTGCTTCCACCATGATAAGCACATGACGCTTGCCTTGGCGGGTTGGTGGCAGTGTGATATAAACAATCTGCCAGGCCTCCCCATATTTATACTTCAGCCATCATCCTTTATAACAAAGAGGCTTTAACCGCTTGGCTTGCTCAATTGCAGCACATTTCACATTCATGAATGACCTGGACAATAGTGTCCATTGTTAAGTCCACCCCTCAATCACGAGCCCATCTGTATGTTGCATCTCTGCCCTGATGGCCTGAGGTGTCATGGGCCCACCAGGCCAAAAATAATTCACTATGCTGCCAATCTAAGTCCATCTGAGCCA